AGTTTCAACCATTCAGAACCAGATGTTAGATCGTTATTCGATTGCTTTCTTGCTGATATTTTCCTGGCACGTTGTGGGATTAAATGCAAGTGCTGGTGATGCTAATCCGCGTTATAGGTACATCATCTCTGATCTATGTACATGACTACATGTCAATTCTTTTTTCTTTTTTTCTTTCTTTTTTTTAAATGTCAATCTTCGTTTCTACTTGGAATTATTCTTTAATTGAATTTTTATCTTTCTTAGAGTAGGTATGCTGACCGATTTATAGGGTCCATTAAGGCTGGCTTGAACATTTCACGGGAAAGTTAACATCCTATTGTTTTTTTAAATCAACTATAATTTCTGAGGATTTTTAGCAGGAGTTGACTTGCTTGAATGGACTGTTCCTGCTGGAAGGTAATCAAACTACTAAAATATGATATTCTCTTGAAGATAAAATTGTTCCAGAAAACGATCATCTTCAATTTTTCTGGTATCTCCTGTTTTGGGTTCAGTGTGTACTTTCCAAATGCTGTTTAATATGTTTCTTAGTTGAATGGACGCTTAGTTGGATGTTTTGATATGAAAGACACGGAAGAAAATTTTGCAGTTGTTGAGCTCATAACTATTAGATGAAGGATATATTTGCAATCTTTCATGAAAGCATAATGTCTTTGGTAACTCACTAACTCTTGCTATTTGTTTTGCCCCGCTTTTTGTGGACCTTTCATGATTACACTGTGCAAGTAAATCTTTACTTCATCCAATTTGCTTTATTTTCAGCTCAGTACAGTAATATTTGAGCTTTCCGAGCCCAATTTTTTATTTTCTCTCTCTTTTTTTTTAATATCAGGGACTGTGTGAAACAATGTGAGGGAACAGGATGTGCTGGGCAAAGATGCTTTGCGAAGTGTAAATTTTCTGGAGATGACCTCACGCATGGTCCATGGTACAAGCAAGAGCCGCTTTACCTGCAGTGGAAAAAATGGGATTGCCAAAGTGATTGTCGATACTTCTGTATGGTCGATATAGAGAAAGAAAAAGAATTAAATAATGGTGCTCCGGTCAAATATCATGGCAAATGGCCCTTCAGGCGTATCTATGGGATGCAGGTTTGTAACTGATGAAGCCACACATCTTATGCTATCATTTGGAGTTAGTGCTTAATGATATCAAAGCATTTTGTTTAGAAATCTGACACATCACATGTCATCAATTAATTCAGGAGCCTGCTTCTGTGGCTTTCTCTGTTCTCAATCTCTTAGCACATTTTCATGGTTGGGTATCCTTTTTCATTCTTTTACACCATAAGATGCCTCTAAAAGAAGGTATGAAGCCATATTATGAGTATGTTAGCTTGTGGCATGCCTATGCGCTGTTATCAATGAACTCCTGGTTTTGGAGTGCTGTTTTCCATAGTCGGTAAGTTATTTTTGCAGATATACTATCTTGTACTGCTTTCCATAACATTGTGTTTTGCAGCATCATTACGCTCTGTTCATTCTAATAATGTGTGCTATATTATTTGACCTTATCAATGATTGCTTAAAGATTGTATCAAGCCTATGTAAATAGGTGGTTGAATAATAGCAAATTGCTGTACTTCTTAAATTGTAGTCTGAATTGCCTGATTACATGGTGCGTTAGTTCAATTAAATTGTATATGCTTATGAAAATTGAAGCGTTACTGGTGACTTTCCCCCCATTTTAGCTTACATATATTTCTATTTCTGCCTCTTGAGTTCTTAATGGAAATTGTTATCTCGTTTTCTTTCAGTCAGATCCAGATTTAAGTTACATGAATTGATGGGTTTGCCTTGAACCTTACAACTCTCACTAAAAAGTCAATTTCCTCACTGCATGAAACGATAATTTGATTTTGTTGAAGATAATGTTGAAAGTGCTCTCCAATGCTAATGCTTTTATTATCTGCTAAGAAAAGATGAGAAACAACCTATCTTCTTACCCATTGCATAGAGAAATGAAGATTTCTTGACTTTTTTACGTGCCTTATCTCTACCTGTCTCTTCTCTTTTAGCATAAAGCTTCATAATTTCTGTGCCTCATTGAGCTGCAGAGACGTTGATTTGACAGAGAAATTAGACTACTCATCTGCTGTGGCTCTCCTTGGATACTCCCTCATTTTGGCCATATTACGAAGTTTCAATGTTAGGGATGAGGCTACCAGAGTTATGATTTCTGCTCCCCTGATTGCTTTCGTGACTACCCACATATTGTTCATCAACTTTTATAAATTAGACTATGGTACGTCCTTTGACTGAAAAAAAAAAAAAAAGACTATGGTACATCCTGCCATTTACATCTTTATATTAGTGGCGATGATCACTACAGTTGCGTCGAAGACCAATGTTTTTCTTTTTGGAGATAAGTTTACCTTGAACTTTCTGTTAAATATATACTCCATTCACAAGTTATGTGCCTTTGTCTTCAGATTGATATCATTACGGGTAGTGGCTCGCCTGGGTTTTGAGGACTGTGTAAATGAGATTGAGTTTTAATGATATCTATTTTCCAAAATATTATAGTTCCTGCTTTATTGTCAATATCCTAATGTGTAAGCCTGTAAGGAGGTTTACATATCCCAACTCGGATTTTCCTTCAATGTTTGTCTTAGTCATTTTATTTCCTGTTTTCCTTTTTGTGATGATCTTGATTGCCTCCAATCAATCTTACAGGATGGAATATGAAAGTTTGTGTTGGGATGGCTGTGACCCAACTCATCATTTGGGCTGTTTGGGGTGTTATTAGCCGTCATCCGTCGCGGTGGAAACTATGGCTGGTTGTTTTTGCCGGTGGCCTTGCAATGCTCCTAGAGCTATATGACTTTCCTCCATATCAAGGACTTGTGGATGCTCATGCTCTTTGGCATGCAACTACTATTCCTTTAACCTATATCTGGTGGAGTTTCATTAGGGATGATGCTGAATTCCGAACCTCAAATGTTGTGAAGAAGGCCAAGTGACATGTTTTCCTCATGGGGTGATACAAACTGGGAGCTGCATTTTCTCTGTCCTTGATTTATATATATTGGTTATGACTCTTTTCGATTAGGACTTCCATAGGGCAAAGGTTATTGGATTTTGCTTCTTGTTTGACATTTCTTTCTCAGCTTAAATGAATGTATACAAAACAAAATTTTGTAAGCCTATTTCTGCCGTTGTGATTCGAAGATTCTATAATGTTTGTATTCACTCTTTTGATCGCCAAACGCACCTTGTCTCCAAGCAGAAAGAGATATGACGAACGGTAGTAATCTTGTTTTTCTTTGTTAAAATAAGCCGCTAAAGTTGGCACATTAAAAATATTAATAATGATGATGGGTTTGGTTTTTGAGAGTATATGAGACTCTTTTTGGTCCATGCAATAAAGTCCAAAGACTAAAATAAGTTGCATTTTTCATAATTTATAAACTATGAAGGATATAATATGTCTTTTATATTTTATAATGTTGATATTGATTCTTTGAGGAAGGGATGTCAAGATATGCGTAAGTGATGATGAAGCTATAATTAGAAATCTGCCCCCATTAAATCAAATTTATAGGTAGATAAGTTGATAATATTAAGCAAGCAAACAAGTATTTAAGAGAGGGTATGGAGGAAACTAGTTTCAATACTCATCATATAGATGAGTACTAGAATCTCATTGTCTTTGAATCATATAGATCTAATTTAGATAGTCCTAATTTATAGTTTTTGACTTTTATTTTTTAAAAAAATTATTTTAATGAATTTAGAATTTAAAATAAAAACAATTTCTTAATTGCCAGTTTTTTAAAAGCATAATTTTTTTAATTAAAAGATACCTATTGAAAAATTATAAATCTAGATCATGAAAATTAGACTTAAATGGTTTAGAAGCAATAAGCTTTTAGTACTCATTTGAATGATAAGTGTTGAAATTGGTTCCGAATATGTAGAGGATCCAATTTAAATCTATATACAAGTATTGTGTTTTATTTTACATTTGGTTCTATTTCCACCACATTTAATTTTTTACATTCCCTTCTCTTAAATTATTATGGCTCCCCTTATCCCAAAAAATAAATTACATAAATTTCCTTTAAACAGCAATATTTTCATAGAATTAACGTTTGAATGTAAGTTAAAAAAATGGGAGAATTTCAATATAAGAAGGACACTAAAAGAACATCGCTATTGACCACTAAACAACCCTCATGGTCAGCATCGACTCCTAATACTTTAAATAGCTAAGGGAGGATTTGAACCCACAAAATTTTGGTGCATCAAAAACTTTTATAACCATTAAGCAAATGATGCTTCTTTATTATATAGTGTAAAAGAAAATATATAACATAAACCAAATTTCCAAACCAAGACTAAGTAAACCTATTAATAATGCCACTTGTTATTTCCTTAATAACAGTACTTATTAATTCATTAGTAAAATTTGTTGATAATACCTTAACATATTCAATTTTGATAACTTGTTAATATTATAACTTAACTTGTTAATTCACTAGTTATACTTGTTAAATTACTTACAAAACTTGTTAATAATATTTTATAAATATTTAATTTTAAAGACTTGTTAATTCATCAATATTGTTATTTTTTATATATATAATATTGATGACTTGTTAAAATCTTAATATAACTTATTAATTGGCAATTCTGTTACTGGAGCTCTTGTAGCTGCTATGGGGGTGGTCTAGTGGCAAATTCCCATGAGGTGGATTTTTTTTTTTTATGGAAAAAGAATAAGAGCGCTATGGCCATTTTCCTTTTGTAACTTATTTTCAGTTAAGTCCCTTGGATCTGCAGTAAATTTTAAGAATTCATTGAGCCTGATCCGAAATAAAATCCCATATTTGGTCCTATGCTAAAACTGTCCCTTAAAAAATCGGAAGAGCTGAAATGATGGAAAAAACATCTAAATGGGGCCAAAAGAAGCCCAAATTTTAGAAATTAGGGCCCAGCCCATATCTGATATAAACGGAAAACCCCACTTGTGAGAGTATAAAGCATATACTTCCCCTACTTCTCTCATCTTTTCGCGGCCAATAGGGGGTGCATCTTTTTCCCGCCGCCCGCCACACCCTCTCTCCGTCTCCTGTGCGTTTTCCTGTAGGGTTTCTCTGGTGTCTATCTGATTTTTGATTCTGTGTTTGATCATTTCTTTCTTTCTGTGCTCTCCCACGTGGATTTACCGACTTATTTTTGTTCTATTCCCAGTAGATCTGTGTTTTGGTCAACCAGTGTGATGTTATTTGAGAACTTCATGTATTTCAAGATTTTTTGCCAAAAAAAGTGTGATATTCTGGTTAAACTTGCTTTAAGGGCGTAATTCAACATGGGTTGCTATAGATGTTCAATATTTTTTCTGGTGAATTGATGTAAAAATATTTTGTCTTGTTATAGAAATCTAGACCCATGCATACAGTACGCTTTATCTTTTTAAGGTATTAGAGATTAGAGATTCGAGGATAGATGGGTCTTATCCTTTTTGATACTGGCTTGATCAAATAATACTGGCATATTTGCTTATCAATACTTTATGGTGCCATCTGAGCGAATTTGAACCAATCGCATCTGCAGAAAACTAATATTTTCTTTGCTCCAAGTTTGTGCTTTCGCGATATCCGATTATTTTGCTAATTTCATTGTTTTTTCAGTTTCATATCACTTCAACGTCAGATAACTGCATTTTCGTGTTGACAATAAAGATCAGTTAAGATGGTAAGTTTGCGAACTTGATTTCGGGTAATTGACTTACAATTTTCGTTCGTTGCGGATCATTGACGTTGAAAATTGTGTCCTTACATTCAGGTGAAGTTCACAGCAGAAGAGCTTCGTCGCATTATGGACTACAAGCACAATATTCGTAATATGTCTGTCATTGCACATGTCGATCATGGTATGGACTGCTTTGTACTGCATTTGTATGTTATTCTTTTTACTTTCTCTCTTCCCTTAACAGCCATTATGATGTTATCTCCCCTTGTTTTCTGTGAGGGGTAAGATCTTGTTGCATTTTCTTGCAAGTTTCATGCCATCATATTGGTGTTATACCCGATGCATGCATCTTTACAGAAAATCATTTTATTTTCACTTGTGAAACATCCATTCAAAAATTCTTCAATTTTTTCACACGTAATAAAAGATACCTTACATTGGCATGTCCAGATATAGTCGTTGATTTATTATTTTATATAATTACCTTCATTTTCTAGTTATATAACTCACAATCCTCCGGCTTTCTAATTGCAGGAAAATCCACTCTCACCGATTCTCTTGTGGCTGCTGCCGGTATTATTGCCCAAGAGGTGGCAGGTGATGTCAGGATGACTGATACCCGTGCAGATGAAGCTGAGCGTGGCATCACCATCAAGTCTACTGGGATCTCCCTCTACTACGAGATGAGTGAAGAATCCCTCAAGGCCTACAAGGGAGAGAGGAACGGGAATGAATACCTCATCAATCTGATTGACTCTCCTGGACACGTGGACTTCTCATCTGAGGTCACAGCTGCTCTTCGAATCACCGACGGAGCTCTCGTGGTGGTGGATTGCATTGAGGGTGTGTGTGTGCAGACGGAGACTGTGCTTCGACAGGCTCTGGGAGAAAGGATTAGGCCTGTCCTGACTGTCAACAAGATGGACAGGTGTTTCCTTGAGCTCCAGGTGGATGGGGAGGAGGCTTACCAGACTTTCCAGAGAGTGATTGAGAATGCCAATGTGATCATGGCCACGTATGAAGATCCACTCCTCGGTGACTGCCAGGTTTACCCAGAAAAAGGAACAGTTGCTTTTTCAGCCGGCCTGCACGGTTGGGCTTTCACCCTAACCAACTTTGCCAAAATGTATGCTTCAAAATTTGGAGTTGATGAGTCAAAGATGATGGAAAGGCTGTGGGGTGAAAACTTCTTCGACCCGGCCACCAAGAAGTGGACTACCAAGAACACTGGTTCTCCTACGTGCAAGCGTGGGTTCGTTCAGTTCTGTTATGAGCCCATCAAGCAGATAATCAACACCTGCATGAATGATCAGAAGGATAAGCTGTGGCCCATGCTGCAAAAACTTGGCGTGACCATGAAATCTGATGAGAAGGATCTGATGGGCAAACCACTGATGAAACGTGTCATGCAAACCTGGCTGCCAGCAAGCAATGCACTATTGGAAATGATGATATTCCATCTTCCCTCACCCGCCAAAGCCCAAAAGTATCGTGTTGAGAACTTGTACGAGGGTCCCCTTGATGATCCTTATGCTGCTGCAATCAGGAACTGTGATCCTGAGGGACCTCTCATGCTCTATGTCTCAAAGATGATTCCGGCATCCGATAAGGGAAGGTTTTATGCCTTTGGCCGTGTCTTCTCTGGTAGGGTCTCTACCGGTTTGAAGGTGAGAATTATGGGACCCAATTATGTGCCCGGAGAGAAGAAAGATTTGTATGTCAAGAGCGTGCAGAGAACTGTTATCTGGATGGGAAAGAGGCAGGAAACTGTGGAGGATGTTCCTTGTGGTAACACTGTTGCCATGGTTGGTTTGGATCAATTTATTACCAAGAATGCCACTTTAACAAATGAGAAGGAAGTGGATGCTCACCCTATCAGAGCTATGAAGTTCTCTGTCTCCCCTGTGGTGCGCGTTGCTGTTCAGTGCAAGGTGGCTTCAGATCTTCCCAAGCTTGTGGAGGGTCTCAAGCGGCTGGCCAAGTCAGATCCTATGGTTGTTTGTACTATTGAGGAGTCAGGCGAGCATATTGTTGCCGGGGCTGGAGAACTTCACCTTGAGATCTGTTTGAAGGACTTGCAGGAAGATTTCATGGGCGGAGCTGAGATTATCAAATCTGACCCTGTGGTGTCCTTCCGTGAGACTGTCATGGAGAGATCATGCCGCACTGTGATGAGCAAGTCGCCCAACAAGCACAACCGACTGTACATGGAAGCAAGACCCTTGGAGGAAGGACTTGCTGAGGCAATTGATGACGGCAAGATTGGTCCAAGGGATGACCCCAAGGTTCGTTCTAAAATCTTATCAGAAGAGTATGGTTGGGACAAGGATCTGGCCAAGAAAATCTGGTGTTTTGGGCCCGAGACCCTTGGACCAAACATGGTGGTGGATATGTGTAAGGGAGTGCAGTACCTGAATGAAATCAAGGATTCAGTTGTTGCGGGGTTCCAGTGGGCATCGAAGGAAGGTGCACTGGCTGAAGAGAACATGAGGGGCATCTGCTTTGAAGTGTGTGATGTCGTTCTTCATGCTGATGCCATCCACAGAGGAGGAGGCCAGATTATTCCCACCGCAAGGAGGGTCTTCTATGCCTCCCAATTGACTGCTAAACCCAGACTTCTGGAGCCAGTGTACCTCGTTGAAATCCAGGCTCCTGAGCAGGCTCTTGGTGGCATCTACAGCGTCCTTAACCAGAAACGTGGGCATGTGTTTGAGGAGATGCAGCGACCAGGCACACCCCTTTACAACATAAAGGCATACCTACCTGTCATCGAGTCATTTGGGTTCTCAAGCACTCTGAGAGCAGCTACATCTGGCCAGGCTTTTCCTCAGTGTGTGTTTGATCACTGGGACATGATGTCGTCTGATCCTATGGAGGCTGGATCACAAGCTGCACAGCTTGTTGCTGACATTCGCAAGAGGAAGGGTTTGAAGGAGCAGATGACTCCACTTTCAGAATACGAGGACAAGCTTTAAATTTTTATTCAGCTTTCAGAGTTAGCTTTAGTTTTTTCTTTTTGAAGTGCTGTTGTGTGTTCTTTTTGTTTAAGCGGCGTAAGTTCTCCTTCCTTAGTAATTTTGTCATTGAAATACTAAGCACTCGTCTAGTATGTATTGTTGAACTTGTGATTGTCAGGTTTCACCTGTAGATGTGTAACGTATAGATTGACGATTTTTGGTGCTATGGCATACATTTTGATCGAACAATCTTCGCCGATTTTGTTTTGAATATGCTATTATTATCTTTTACAATTATTTATATGTTGATTATTTTGTGCGTTCTCTTGCAGTCGTATTTGTGTCTGTAACCCTACGTTGAAGTGTAATCGCAGATTTGCCGTTGCGCATTTTATTGTTTTCCTTTCATCTCTTTTAGGGATTTGCTGATTGATGAGTTTTGCAGGAATAGCAACAGCAGTGTTGGCGTTTTGTTTGTAATGATATGCGGTTTAACATTTTCTGTTCATCCCCTTTATTTAAGGGGTGTTTTTCCATTCCTTTTCTTTCCATTGCTCTGCCACTGTACCGTTTTGCTTATTAAAAGTTGGGAAAATTACATTTAGGATTCACAAAGTTTATTATCGAGAGGTTTCATATATTTCATAAAATACTTTTAAGTCTCAAATTTTACGCATTAACAACTTGAATAAGGACATTGACAATTGAGCAACAGTTATTTACAATTGTTAATATGCAAAATTTGAGACTTGTGAGTTTTTTGTAAAATTTATGAGACTTTTCAATGATAATTTTTTTTATGGGACCTGAATGTAATTTTTTTAATTTATAAGAAAGCTGGTAAAAAAAAATAATATATATATATATATATATAAATAATAGAAGGCAATTAAAAAGAAAGCAGACTCACCTTGTTAACTTGCCTTTTCTCCTCTCGCCCACCCTTTCCTTGCATACGGTTAAAATATTTATTTATTTTTATATTTATTAAAAAATATAAAAAAAATCTTATAACACATTTTATTACTAATTTAAGCAGTAAAAATTTAATATAGATGGTTTAAGTTTAATATTAAAATTTTTTATAACTTTTATAAATTAACTATCAAAATACAATATAGACAGTACATATTTAATATTTTAAAATTATAAAAAATTTACTATTAAATTTAGATTATTTATATTAAATCTAGACTACCCAAACTAATTATTAGATTTAATTTTTTTAATTTTTATAAATTAATTATCCAAATATGCTTTGGATAATGCAGATTTAATATTAAAATTATAAAAAAAATTATATTAAATTTGGACTATCCATGTTAAATCTGGTTTAATAAAAAATTTATAATTTTTTATATTAAGAAGTATAAAATAAAAATAAAAATTAAAACATTTAATCTAGATTGCATGCAGGGAAGGATGTGAGGAGAGAAGCTAGGTCTAACAAGGTGAAGGTGCTTTCTTTTTAGTTGCTTTCTATTCCTTTTTCTTGTATTTTTTTTTTATAACCAAAACAGTATAGTTTTAAAGAAATGAAGAGAAATTGAGAGAATGGAAGTGGAGACACCTCTTGCCCATGTCTTCTACATTACTACTCTTTGTGCGAACTTTAGATGCTAGCATATGAGATCATAATATCCACCTTCTACCTATACAAGTGTAACATTTTGAATTGTAATTCCCAAATTAAATCAAATTAACCAAAGATAATTAGGAGTATTAAACAAATTAATAATGAAATAAGAGTAATATAGAGCAATATGTGGGATTTAAGAGTTAATTTGAGAGAGAATATGAGTTTCTATTCATAACTATTTGTGAATGTGACCCAAGAGGAGGCTACTATTTATGGTTGAGCATCCCTGAAAGAAAAGCGTGCTCTTTGTTCACAACATCTATTGTTGAGTCCTTCACTAAAGATAACTATCCACAATTATGGATAGAGGGGGCAAATTTAGATTAGTGGCTTTGATAGTGATCAATCATGAATTATAACATCGACAATTGTTCGTGATCAAAACATCAGAATTGTGATTTAAGTAGTAGAAAATGCAAAAATAGATAGAAATAGAGAGAGGGACGGAGGAGCCGAGTAGAGCTCTACTAGTGCTTGTATTTTGTGATTTGGGACATCTTTAGGCTAGGAATCACTTGAGGTAAGTTTCCCCATCCTTCATTTTCCATTCTAGCTATATTTTAAGGTTAGGTTTTCTAGTTTCTCCTTGAATCTGAGTCTTTGGTGTATTTTTGAGCTTTCAAAGGTTTATGGCCAAATTAATGGAATAAAATGGAGTTGTTGAAAGTTAGTTTTTGCTCTTAGAACATTAACTACTAGCTGCTTGATCATTGGGTTCAAATTTCATTGAGTTAGACAAACCCTAAGCTCTTTGATGAAGAAATTAGGTTGCAACAAGGCAGAGCCACATGCTAGTAAGGGGGGCAAATGCACCCCCTCACTTTAAAAAATATTACAAATATGATATAGAAATTTTACAACTTTACATTCCTTATTTTTAATCCTTTGCCCTTTTTAGATTAAATAAAAGTTTTTGGGCTCAAAAACTTATTAGATATAAAATAGTTTAATGATTTATATAAGATATGAAAGCATATTTACATAAAAGATCATATCAACTTGGTCATTATAATTTTTAAGAAGAAAAATGATAATTAATCTATTAATGTTACTATAATTTTAGTCCTATAATATAATTATTATTTTTAAAAAATATTAATTTTTTTATTAAATTATCCCACACCCTTTGGTTTTTCTTGGCTCTGTCACTGGGTTGTAGAATGTTATAATTATTGATATTTAAGTTATTGGAAGCTAAATGTTGATGGAAGTCAATGAACCCAGTGGATGTGAAATTACACTTGTAGTTGGGAAAATTAGTAATTATGGTGTGATATTTAGAAGTTGGAAGTGTTGTTTTATTATTATTATTAGTGATAATGGTTAATGTTCTGTGTAAACTAACCTTATGGAGTATAGAAAAGCTTGTGTTAGCTCGGAAGTAAGTGATAGTTAGGGGTAACTTTAAATTCTTAAATGTTTGAGATAATTAGGAATCTGTTACATGTTATTGCTTGTGGATTTAATTACTGGTGTTTATGAACCATGAAAACTATATTTTCATATAGATATCCTTATATATGCCTATTTTAGTTTTGAAAATTATACAAGTGTGGCTTGAATTACATAATTGGAATAATGAGGTTGTAAAGGATAAATGATTGTTCAATGGTGATTAAAATTCCTTCAAATTTAGAAAATATTAATGAAATTGAGCATGATGATGTTTAGAAATGTGCTCTGTGAATTAGCATGAGATATGGGAATGATCATATTGAATTATTGATAGCAGGAGTTCGCCTAGTGGGGTATTAATTTGTGTACACATAGATCATACTAACACAAAGCGGCCTCAGTGTTTGGTTCTTGACTTTACCTTTAAACCCCACTTAATAAAGGTAGTAATAAGATTTATTGTTAAACCCTACCTAGCGAAGTTGGTAATAGGGACTTGTGACACCCATGTGTTTAAGATGGGGAAAGCCATGGTCCATGATTGAGTGTGAAACCCTAGCTCAGTCACCCTTCATGATTAGAGAGCTTAGACTAACCTAGTCGCATGAGTTTAGCTCTTATTTATTATGTAGCCCATAGGTTCAATCAACAGTGATGGAGTTATTGATCATACTTTGCATTGAATTGTGCTTAATATTGTTAAAATGTTTCATAAATGCCTACTTTGCATGCTTATTATTATTTGACTTGCTTGAACATGTTTTAAATAGTATTGGTTATTGAGTGGTTTTACTTACCCGTTATTTATTATCTTATAAGTGCTAGCTTTGGTCTAGACAAGAGAAAGACATTTGAGACTTAAGAATTTTGCTTTTTACTGTATAGCCTTATATTCCTTTTGTTTTATGTGTAATATTTTATGATATTACCAAATATGAAATCATTATTTGATTACTTGCACCATTATACACTGTTGTTATTATCTAGTTGTATTTAGTATCCTAAGCTATGTTGTATGGTTTATAAATGTCTGAACAAGGCTTAAATATTAGTGCAAGTATACTGTTAATTACTTTGATAACTATAGATGATCATGTTGTGGAATTGATGTTGATTTCCTCCCCCTTTACTTTTTGATGATATTAGGGTTGATGATTGAAATTGTAACATATGTCTATTTTAGTGTGTTGTACAAGTTGTTCTAAGTCCTTTGGGCTTGGTCTAGATGGTATTACTGGCTATTATCATTTTGATTGGAATCTGGACACTTTATCTATTTTAGAGTATAAAAAGATAATTGTTGGTTTTTTAGTAATCCAACTTTGTGGTGTGTTATTATTTGTAAATGAAATCAGTGCTAATAGCTAGACCTATGAATAATTTTTTTAAGGACATCTAAATCACCCTAATTGGATGTTGGACGGTGAATTGGGGGATGTCAAAAATTCATCTTGGGATTAGTTTGTAACAGCGCAATGCTATTCTTTTGCTATATAGTGTGCCACGATGCATGACGCCTGCGTTGCGGCTTATGAAATAAAGGAGATCAAGGCTACGATGGACTAAGTGATGACCACTATGGACTCTCCAAAACTCTTAAAAAGACATTTTTACCCTTTTTCTATTTTCAACTACAAAGATATCACATGCTTCCAATTGCTTCACTCTGATTTATCGTTATTTTAGTTTTAATTCTTGTAGTATTTAAATTTAAACCCTAGGATCCCATTTTGAAATAAAAGAAATTTCTATTTACCATAATAGAATTATATGGTCATTACTTAGTTACCATAATAAGTATATTTAGGATTGGGTTAAATTCAGGTTGAATTTGGAGATTTTACAATAAACCTCTTCTTGAAGATGCCAGTGAAGTTATGTAGAGTTTTGTTTAGTCATTAGGGACTTCAATACTTATTTGGAAGCTAGTGACAAGCTAAGGGGAGTAGGGCCTAATATGTATACAATGAGACCCTTCTGTGAGTGTGTTACCAATTCTAATCTTGTTCCTTTAGAGGTTGTGGGTGATAAGTTTACTTAGGAAAATAGTACAATAAAGGAGCTAATTAATTGGGCACTTTTTAACATGGATTGGATTCTTGGTTTTCTTAATGCTTAAGTATACCATCTTTGTAAATTTAGATTTGATCACAGACCAAATTTAGTGAAACTAAAACCAAATACTAGCTCAAGATCACCTAAGCGTCTATTTAAA